CCGAGGGGGGGTCCCGGCGGGCCGACCTGCACTTCAACCTGGGGGCGGCCCACGAGGCCCTGGGGGAGGCCGGCCAGGCCGCCGAGCACTACGGTCAGGCCGCGCGGCTGTACCGGGAGCAGGAGGGCGAGGAGCTCAGCGAGGCCGACGCCTGGATGAAGCTCGCCGGCTGCCGCCTGCACAGTGAGGTCAGAGCTTGAACCCCACCAGCACCCCACAAGGGGTGCAAGCAAGGAGGGGTTCCTCTCGTTGGGTTGTCCAGGGTGTCCTTTAGTGCATTGAAGGACAATGGGAGCTGTTGGGGTTTCCAAAAGTGGAGTTCTCAAATTTGATCTCATAGGTGGGGGGACGTTTAGTGATCCCAACAGCATGTTTGGGTAGTTTGCTGCAGCCACCCACAACCCTTTGCGTACAGAAGTACTTCTCCGGTTTTCAGCCCCGAATGTGTAGTTAGTTCTTTTTCGTGGCCCGGAGGGGAGCAGGTCTAATGGCCCCATCGCTCCCTGCCTTCCCTCTGCCCTTAAAAAAGAGATGAGGAGTTACTGCCACCGCCAGTGAGGTGCCACCTCTGGCTCCCGCCTTAGGTCAGAGGATCAGAGTCCCGGTCCAAGACGCGGGACTGCTGCACGGAACCGGTACCACCTGCTTGTGCCACTCCTGCTCCGTCACGCCAAATAGGCCTCCTGGGCAGCAGGATTTAGAAGCAGCAGGGAAGTTTAATAACAGATAAGATAACATTTTATTGTCCCCTGAGGGATTTTTTATGGACACCCAGCACTCCTGTACATTGAATTAGAATGCAAAAGAAAAGAAAAACATTGCACATTATTCTATTACAAAAAACAAGAAAAACATTGCACTCTATTGCACACGTACAGTATAACACATAACAGCACGTATCATTTCTGACACATCACTAAACATATCGCACTCAAGTGGGTTGTAAGAGTCGGAATTGTGTTTATCCTGGACATTTGCGTTGACGACTGAACCGCGCAGTGTAGACCAGGGGAGGCAGCCTGCCGGTGTCGGAGTGCACAGCCGGCCCAGAACGCGAGAAACCCCACAGAGCCCATTCCGCGCGATCCGTCCGCTCGGGCGCGGTGGGCTCATCGCTCCGAGACTCGCCCAGCGTGTCCGTCTGCTCTCTCCCGGCTCCGCAGGACTGGGCGGAGGCAGCTCGGGGTTTCCAGGAAGCGGGCCGGAGCTACAGGGCGGCGGGCCGGCTGGAGTCGGCCGCCGTGGCGCTGCGGGAGGCCGGGAGCTGCATGCTGCGGAGCCGGGCCTTCAGCGAGGAGGACGTCCTGACCGTGCTGCGAGGCTGCTGGGAGCTGGGCGAGAGCGTCCAGGACCAGCGGGAACGGGGTGAGCGCCCTTGGGGACCCCCGGGGGAAGAGGGGTTGCGGGTTTCTC